TGTAAACACTTGATCTACACTTCACCTACTCACTCTAAGGCCTCCTTGCTCATCTGCAGTCCTACTCTCTGTCTTACCTCTAATTCTTTCAATAATAACCCTACTGTACATTTTTCCTGGTATACTCAGTAAACTTTGTCCCCTATAATTTTTACAAATCTCTTTTGTCCCCCTTCTCTTTATATAAAGGAACTATACATACTCTCTGCCAATCCTTAGGTACCTTCCCCTCTTCCATATATTTATTAAGCAAAGATACCAACCACTCGAACACTATATAACCCCTTGCTTTTAACATTTCTGTCATGATCCCATCAGTTCCAGCTGTTTTACCTCTTCTCATTCTACGTAATACCTCACGCACCTCCCCCACACTTACATCCTGTTCTTCTTCACTCTTAAAACATGTTATACCTCCCTGGCCAGTGCATGAAATGACCACCTCCCTTTCTTCATCGACATTTAAAAGTTCCTCAAAATATTCCCACCATCTACCTCCAACTCCCCATCTACTAACTCTCCTACTCTTGTTTTTAATTGGCAAATCCATTAGTTCCCTTGGCTTTCTTAACTTGTTTTCGCACTCCAAAATTTTTTCTTGTTTCCATCAAAATTTCTTGACAGTGCCTCTCCCACTCTATCATCTGCTCTCCTTTTGCACTCTCACCACTCTCTGCTATTCTTATAACACTTCTGCTTTGTAAAAATCTCTCATAAGCTACCTTTTTCTCTTTTATCACACTCTTTACTTCATCATTCCACCAATCACTCCTCTTTCCTCCTACACCCATCCTCCTATAGCCACAAACTTCTGCCCCACATTCTAATACTGCATTTTTAAAACTATTCTCTCTTCAACCCTCCTACTACTCATACTTGCATTAGCCCTCCTTTCTGCCAATAGTTGCTTATATCTTGCCCTAACTTCCTCCTTCCTTAGTTTATATACTTTCACCTCTCTCTTACTTGTTGTTTCCATTTTCCTTTCGTCCCATCTACCTCTTATTCTAACTGTAGCTACAACTTAATAATGATCCAATATATCAGTTGCCCCTCTATAAACATGTACATCCTGAAGCCTACCCATCAGCCTTTTTTTTTTTTTTTTCTTCTTAACAAGTCGGCTGTCTCCCACCGAGGCAGGGTGACCCAAAAAAGAAAGAAAATCCCCAAAAAGAAAATACTTTCATCATCATTCAACACTTTCACCACACTCACACATTATCACTGTTTTTGCAGAGGTGCTCAGAATACAACAGTTTAGAAGCATATACGTATAAAGATACACAACATATCCCTCCAAACTGCCAATATCCCAAACCCCTCCTTTAAAGTGCAGGCATTGTACTTCCCATTTCCAGGACTCAAGTCCGACTATATGAAAATAACCGGTTTCCCTGAATCCCTTCACTAAATATTACCCTGCTCACACTCCAACAGATCGTCAGGTCCCAAGTATCATTCGCCTTCATTCACTCCTATCTAACACGCTCACGCATGCTTGCTGGATGTCCAAGCCCCTCGCCCACTAAACCTCCTTTACCCCCTCTCTCCAACCCTTTCGAGGACGACCCCTACCCCTCCTTCCTTCCCCTATAGATTTATATGCTTTCCATATCATACTACTTTGATCCATTCTCTCTAAATGACCAAACCACCTCAACAACCCCTCTTCTGCCCTCTGACTAATGCTTTTATTAACTCCACACCTTCTCCTAATTTCATCACTCCGAATTTTCTGCATAATATTTACACCACACATTGCCCTTAGACAGGACATCTCCACTGCCTCCAACCGTCTCCTCGCTGCTGCATTTACCACCCAAGCTTCACATCCATATAAGAGTGTTGGTACTACTGTACTTTCATACATTCCCTTCTTTGCCTTCATAGATAACGTTTTTTGACTCCACATATACCTCAACGCACCACTCACCTTTTTTCCCTCATCAGTTCTATGATTAACCTCATCCTTCATAAATCCATCCGCCGACACGTCAACTCCCAAGTATCTGAAAACATTCATTTCTTCCATACTCCTCTTCCCCAATTTGATATCCAATTTTTCTTTATCTAAATCATTTGATACCCTCATCACCTTACTCTTTTCTATGTTCACTTTCAACTTTTTACCGTTACACACATTCCCAAACTCATCCACTAACCTTTGCAATTTTTCTTTAGAATCTCCCATAAGCACAGTATCATCAGCAAAAAGTAACTGTGTCAATTCCCATTTTGAATTTGATTCCCCATAATTTAATCCCACCCCTCTCCCGAACACCCTAGCATTTACTTCTTTTACAACCCCATCTATAAATATATTAAACAACCATGGTGACATTACACATCCCTGTCTAAGACCTACTTTTACCGGGAAGTAGTCTCCCTCTCTTCTACACACCCTAACCTGAGCCTCACTATCCTCATAAAAACTCTTAACAGCATTTAGTAACTTACCACCTTTTCCATATACTTGCAACATCTGCCACATTGCTCCTCTATCCACTCTATCATATGCCTTTTCTATATCCATAAATGCAATAAAAACTTCCCTACCTTTATCTAAATACTGTTCACATATATGCTTCAATGTAAACACTTGATCTACACATCCCCTACCCACTCTGAAGCCTCCCTGCTCATCCGCAATCCTACATTCTGTCTTACCTCTAATTCTTTCAATTATAACCCTACCGTATACTTTTCCTGGTATACTCAGTAAACTTATTCCTCTATAATTTTTACAATCTCTTTTGTCCCCTTTCCCTTTATATAAAGGGACTATACATGCTCTCCGCCAATCCCTAGGTACCTTCCCCTCTTTCATACATTTATTAAACAAAAGTACCAACCACTCCAACACTGTATCCCCCCTGCTTTTAACAATATATAATATATAATATATAATCTAACAAACTTCTTTCATTACATGCTGTATTATACCATGTATACTTATTTATCCTCTTTTTCATAAAATATGTATTATTTATTATCAAACCTTTTTGTACACATAGCTCAATTAAAGGCTTCCTATTTTCATTTACTCCTGGCACCCTAGATTTACCTACTAGTCCTTCCACAACATTTTTACCCACTTTAGTATTGAAATCCCCAACCACAAGTACTCTCACACTTGGTTCAAAACTCCCTACACATTTGCCAAACATTTCCCAAAATCTCTCTCTTCTACACTTCTCTCTTCTCCAGGTGCATAAATGCTTACTATAACCCACTTTTCACATCCAACTCTTATTTTACTCCACATAATCTTTGAATTAATGTATTTATATTCTCACTTTTCCTGCCATAACTTATCCTTCAACATTATTGCTACTCCTTCTTTAGCTCTAACTCTATTTGAAGCCTCTGACCTAATCCCATTTATTTCTCCCCACTGAAACTCTCCCACCCCCTTCAGCTTTGTTTCACTTAAAGCCAGGACATCCAGCTTCTTCTCATTCATAACATCCACAATCATCTCTTTCTTATCATTTGCACAACATCCACGCACATTCAGACATCTCGCTTTGATGGTTTTCTTCTTTTCCTTTTTAGTAATTATTACGGGAAAAGGGGTTACTAGCCCATTGTTTCTGGCATTTTAGTTGACTTTTACAACATGCATGGCTTATGGAGGAAAGATTCTTATTCCACTTCCCCATGGATATAAAAGGAAAAGCAATAAGAACAAGAACTATTAAGATAAAATCAAAGAAAACTCAGATGAGTGTGTATACATAAACATGTACATGTATGTGCAGTGTGACCTAAGTGTAAGTAGAAGTAACATGACGTACCTGAAATCTTGTATGTTTATGAGACAGAAAAAAGACACCAGGAATCCTACCATCATGTTAAACAATTACAGGCTTTTGTTTTACACTCACTTGGCAGGATGGTAGTTCCTCCCTGGGTGGTTGCTGTCTACCAACCTACTATTATTATTGTAAATATTTAAAGTTACCAATTTTTTTTATTTTTTTTTTTATTATCACACTGGCCGATTCCCACCAAGGCAGGGTGGCCCGAAAAAGAAAAACTTTCACCATCATTCACTCCATCACTGTCTTGCCAGAAGGGTGCTTTACACTACAGTTTTTAAACTGCAACATTAACACCCCTCCTTCAGAGTGCAGGCAATAAAGTTACCAATACAGTACTGTAAAAAAATTGTTTGTTTTTAGGCTTTTATATGCACTGGCAAGTAAAAAAAAAGCTGTGATTTGATGTGCTGTAAGGCAATATTGTCTTTACAGCTGTAGTCTGGAACCTAACCCACTGTATTACTGAGGTATACCTCTATTACCCACATTTGGCCTTCAGGTTGAATACTGTGTCAGGTCAACATCTGTCTTTGGTTAACCAAAATCAAATCTCTCCAGCCATTATGCCAATGTCCTTCACTTAACACTTTCATTTCTCTCTCTCTGCCATTTGTGTCACCCTTACTTTTCCTTTCCCATCCCATCTCCATGACCCTTTCTATATCTCTACCACCCCTGTCACCCTTGCTATGTCTCTACCATCTCTCACCTTTGCTATGTCTTTACCATCCATGTCACCCTTGCTATATCTTTACCATCCCTGTCACCCTTGCTGCGTTACTACCATCTGTCACCCTTGCTGAGTCTTTACCATCCCTGTTACCCTTGATGTGTCACTTCCATCTGTCACCCTTGCTATGTCTCTACCGTCTGCCACCCTTGCTATGTCTCTACCATCTGGCACCCTTGCTGGGTGTCTACCATACCTGTCACCCTTCTTATACACCACTGAATGACTCGTGTGTTTTTAGTTTTTCCGTGAAAATAATAATAATAAGAATAAAAATGCTGATATTGTTGTACGTAATAGTTCTTCATAATAAAGATGATGGTGTACTTGTTAGAATAATTTCCACTACTACTATATAATAATGATGTAACTGCATTATAGAGCCTCTCTGTTTTTCTGTGTTTTTGCAGTTAACTAACCATCACCTGCATTGTTCCTTTTAGATTTTCCAGGAATTTGTTGACAAAGATGCAGCAGTGAGAGAAAGTAATGATGCAAATTTAGGAAAAAAGAAATTTTCTAAGAAAGAAAGTCAAGAAAAGAAATTGGATAAAAATGACTTTGAGGGTGATGGAGAAAAAAAGCATAATGGTGAAGAGCAAGAGACAGCCAAGGAAGACATTGAGGGAAAGGAGGAGCAAGATGTTGATGATGATGCAGATGATGATATACTCGTGGATGTTTATGATGATGATGATGAAGAGGACGATGATGAAGATGATGATATTGAAGAAATTTATGATGATCATGAAAAAGCAGAGATGCAAAATGCACAACAACATAATTTAATGTATGATGATGATGTTAGCACTGATGATGACCTGAAGAATGTGTTGGCTAGTGCATGTTTTGAAGAGGAAATAGAATATTCTGAAGAGGGTGAGTAATTGTTAATTTATATTCCTTATCATTACTGAAACATAGTTGACATATAGGCAGCAGAGAGTTTGCGTAAATGGGGAGAAGTCCGAGTGGGGGCACGTCGCAAGCAGTGTTCCACAGGGGTCAATGTTGGGCCCTTTGGTGTTCAAAATTTACGTAAATGACATGGATGAGGGAATAAATAGCGACATAAGCAAATTTGCTGATGACACCAAAATATGCCGTCCAATTCATTCTAATGTGGACATTAGAGCACTCCAGGAAGATTTGAATAGACTAATGAAGTGGTCAGAGAAGTGGCAGATGCAGTTTAATATAGACACATGCAAAGTTCTAAATGTTGGACAGGAAAGTAGCTGCATATAAACTAAATAATGTAGATCTTAATATTACTGATTGAAAAAAAAAAAAAAAAAGATTTAGGAGTTCTAGTTAGCAGTAATCTGAAACCAAGATAACAGTGCATAAGTGTTCACAATAAAGTGAACAGACTCCTTGGCTTCATATCAAGAACCTCTTCAAAGGGGGCTCCTTGGCATGGTGAAGAGACTCTTGGTCTGAGGAATTAGACCTTTTGGTCTCCTTCCTCAGACCGAACCAAATTCCCCCTTTCCTGTCCCATCCTCCCTATCCACCCTTTCCCTTTTCTCCTCCTATCCCCATCCCTTCCTTATCCCCTTCCTGTTTTCAGCCTTTGGGATTCTTCCCACAGGCACTCTAGTTCCTAGGTAGGGGGAAGGGTACCATGGTCCATCCCATTCCATTGAAGTACGTGATGGTGATGTAGTTTTCTGTGGAATCTGGATCACTTGGGGATGTCCCACTCCCTCTCCAGTCTCCCGAGGGGTGGCTGTCGGTGTCTTTCGGGTGATGGGTGTATCTCTGGAAGCTGTCTTTCGGGTGATGGGTGTATCTCTGGAAGCTGTCTTTCATGTTCCGGGGGATGGTGGCTGAAGGAGGTATGCTTTGTGGCGGGTATCCGGCTGCCCTCTCTTGGCCGTAAATCCCCCTCTTTTTGGAGGGGGATTTACAGCCCTTTCATTCCTCCTAGGAGCTTTTCCAATGCCCCTGTACCTCTTGCTGGTGCCGTTTTGTCACCTGTTCCAGGTACCAGGGTTCCACCTGACTCCTTTGATACATCTGACCTTTGCACTTCTTTGGCCATGCTTCTGGCTTCTCCCTCTATGGTGCGGCGATTTTTGGATCGCCTCTTGTCCCACATTGGACTGACTCAGGTCCCACATGTAAATGCCCAAAACCATTCCCTGTTGATACTCCTTCGCTTCCTTCTCATTCTGCCCAGAAAAGACCAGCATGACACTCCCTACCCTTACACACTACATTTCAAAATATACAGTGGACTAAGTTTTTTACTCTGCAACCGACTTCTTCTCCTTACTATCTTTCTGATCACAGTATTGCCAAGGCGCTCCTATGCCATGTTGGTCGAGATATATCCTTGTATGCTCTTAAGAGTGGTGCCCGCATTGTCCCGGTACAGAATGCTAGTCAAGCTCATGATCTTTCTCTCCTTACGACCATAGATGCTATTCCTGTAACTATTGCAAACATCATTCTCTCAGTTCTTGTAGTGGTACTGTCATTCTACATCATATCATTGCCAACAGAATTTCCAGACGTGTGGTGATGACATTCTGGAACAGTTTGAGTTCCAAGAACTCCCAATCCTCACAGTAGACACTTATGTCCTCCCTGCCTGCAGGCGGAGACGATATCCCTTGCACTGTAACTTGCTTAACTTTTGACTGCCGTGAGCTTCTGTCCTTATTTTATATTGCAGGACACAGTTAACAAGTTTGAAAGGTGATCCCTACACTGCAAAAGTGTAGAAATTGCTGGTATTTTGATCATCCAGCAAAATATTGCAGGTCCAGGGCCAAATGCCCAGTCTGTTGTGCCGACGACCATACCAATACATCTTGTAGTCTACCTCCCTCTTGCCTTAATTGTCCTGAAGCCCACCCATCTTACTCTTGCAGTTGCCAAATTTACTTAAATGAGCGAGAAATCTGGTGTCTCAAAGAGGCAGAAGGCTTTCCTTATTCTATGGCAGTCTCTCATCTATGCCTCCAGGGAAGACTTCCCCATATTTCTTATTCTCGAGTTACTAAATGACCCCTAACATCTGGGGTTGCAACTTTCACAGCCTCCTCTGTGGTCACCACTTCCAGTCACCCCTGTCTCTAATTCTGTTGCTGTCCTGGACTTAGAGGTCCCTACCTTGACACCTTATTCTGTTCTCACCTCTTCTTCTTCTCACTCACAAGGTTCGTAACTGGCTCTGTTACGAATGTGGAAGTTCATCCTCTTCCTTGTACAGTACTGTCCTTCCCTGTCCCCTCCCAAGTTTCTTCCTCTTCTGCCCCCTTCCAGGTCACTTCCTCTCCTGTCCCCTCCCAAGTTTCTTCTCCAGTTCCCTCTACTGTTTTGTCCTTCCCTACTTTGGTCCATTCCATCGTCACCCCAATCTTTACTCACCCTCCTCCTTCCATCTCCAATATCATTCCACATACATCGTCCTTGTCTTCTGAAACACTTGAAGCTATCTCCAAATATATTGAGGCGACTAGACCATTGATGGACACTGATCCTCCACCTGTTCCTCCTCTTCACTGTTCTCCATCTGCACAACTCCTTTCTTCACGGCGTCCCAATCCTTTGCTGTTGTGCATTTTCTGCTGCCTCCACATGTGGATTTTTCTAATCCTTCTAGTCTGTAGATACCACTACCTTCAGATTTCTTATATCTTTCTCTTTGCAAATCATGGTTTATTTACAGTGGAATATCCGTGGCCTCAGAGGTAACTGGGGTGAGCTTCAGGTGTTGCTCTCCCAGTTTTCCCCTGTTTGTGTTTGTTTACAAGAACCCAAATTACGTTCCGCTGTAATCCGTCCCATCTTGGGTTATGTTTTGTTATATTCATCAGATCCTTTTCCTGATGGAACCTTTAATGAAAGCGTACTTCTTATCTGCACCGGTATTTCATACCATTAGCTCTTTGTTCATACTTTGCTGCATTACACTGCAGCCCGCATCCACTTGAATAAGTGGTATACAATCTGTTCTTTGTATCTCTCTCCTTCTCAGGCATTATCTATCTCATGTTGCATTTCTGGTTTCTTCCTCACCGCCATCACTTCTGTTACTTGGCAATTTTAATGCTCACCATTTCCTCTGGGGAGTTCTCACTGTGACAACTATGGCATTCAGTTGGAGGCTTTTCTCGCTTCTATCCCCCTCCATGTTTTAAGTATGGGTACTCCAACTCATTTTGATCCTTGTACTCATTATCTTTCTTGCATCGATCTCTTGGTTTGCTCTTCTTCAACCGTACCAGATTTTACCTGCGTGACAGCGATCATTTTCCAATCATCCTTACTTCAACCTTCGTGTTCACCACCACCTCGTAGCCCACACTGGCAATTTGACCAAGAATTGGGACCTTTACTTGCGTCAAACTGCTTTTATACCTCTTCTCGACCTCGGTTTTAACTGCAGCTTCACATTCTATACCCCAAACCTCAGACAGGCATTCTCATAGGTGCGTGCCATGGTGTTCTCCTGCTTATGCTCGGGCTGTCCGTTTGAAACGCGTTATATGGGGCAGGTACCGGTACAATAGAACCACAGAGAGAGACTTTAATTTTAAGCAGAAGAGAGCAGTTGCTCACTTCGTCATTCGTGATGCTAAATGCACTTGCTGGTTGGATTACATATCTTTCGTTACTTTGGGTTCCTCTGTGAGTGCTGTCTGGAAAAAAGTACGAAAACTGAGTGGTAAATACTCTCTCGACATGGCTCCCATTCTTCGGGTTGCCGGTGTCGCTATAGCAAACCCTCTTGACATTGCCACCGAAATTGGTAATCATCTTGTCCGCATCTCTCAGGGGGCTCCATCTATGTCCTTTGTGTCTTTCCTCCAAGTCTACCAGAGAGGTAGAGCCCTTCTATCAGAGAAGAATCTTATAATGTGCCTTTTACAGTTCTGGAACTGGAGGCAGCACTCTCCACTTGCTGATCATCAGCAGCTGGGCCTGATGGCATTCATATTCGTATGCTGCAGCATTTACATCAGTCATCCCTTGCTGTCCTTTTATGACTCTTTAATCATATTTGGTTGCAAGGAGTTCTTCCCCAGTTTTGGAAATCTGCCATTGTTTTCTCTTTCTGCAAACTGGGTACTACGGTATATGATGCCTCCCACTATCTCCCATTGCTCTTACCAGTGCAGTTTGCATTGTGGTGGAATATCTGGTAAATAGATGTTTGATGTGGTATTTAAGCAGAGTATTCATAGTGTGGAATTTAGGACGAGTGTGGAGTTACTAAAAGTATTAAAGGACTATAGAGGGGCTGTTGAGGTAGTTTGGTTATTTAGAGAGAATGTAACAAAGTAGAGTGATTTGCAGTGTGTATAAATATGTAGGAGAAGGAAGGAGGGGTAGGAGTCGTCTCCAAAAACGTTGGAGAGAGGGGGTAAAGGAGGTTTTGGGGGCGAGAGGCTTGGACTTCCAGACAGCGTGCGTGAGGGTGTACGGTAGGAGTGAATGGAGACAAATGGTTTTTGGGACCTGATGAGCTGTTGGAGTGCGAACAGGGTAATATTTTGTGAAGGGATTCAGGGAAACTGGTTAGGCAGACTTATTTATTTATTTTTTTTTTATTATCACACTGGCCGATTCCCACCAAGGCAGGGTGGCCCGAAAAAGAAAAACTTTCACCATCATTCACTCCATCACTGTCTTGCCAGAAGGGTGCTTTACACTACAGATTTTAAACTGCAATATTAACACCCCTCCTTCAGAGTGCAGGCACTGTACTTCCCATCTCCAGGACTCAAGTCCGGCCTGCCGGTTTCCCTGAACCCCTTCATAAATGTTACTTTGCTCACACTCCAACAGCACGTCAAGTATTAAAAACCATTTGTCTCCATTCACTCCTATCAAACACGCTCACGCATGCCTGCTGGAAGTCC